ACCGGGCTGTCCGCCTCCGGCGACTGCTCCGCCGCCACGCATTCCCCGCCTTGACACCACTACACATTTACAATACAAAATTTAAAAAAAAGTAATATAATCTAAAACAAAAATCACTATAATATGAAATGCATTGTTTTGTAATGTCTACATCAAAAGACTATATTTTGATAGGTATCTGGAAAGCTAAAAGAAGTAGCTGTGTTGGTTGCACATGGAGAAATTCCTCCATGTAGCTAATTCTAGATTGAATGTAACTATCCTTGTAGAAATGTTACGGCCGTACCGAGTTTCTTTTCTGTGTAAGTGTTAATTGTAAATTTTGTGTTTGCAGTAAGGATGGACACAGGCACCTTGCGCAGTCCGCAGGGCGTGCCGGGCAGCGCCGGGCCAGCGTAGTAGAAGCCGAGGCGGTGCGGCGAGCGGCACGTCAGCTGCGCGCACTGCGCCGCGCTGCCTCCGCCTCTCCCGCCACTTCCGCTCTCCTCCACCGGCGCCGCGTCCACGTCCCGCAGCAGCACCTGCAATAAACAATACATAACATCATCAATACGAAGTCAACAAAGCGGAAAAGACCTTGTATGTCGGGTAACTACATGTATTCGTACCTCGCACTGCTTCTTAGCATCCCACACAATCCCCGGGGCGCCGCCGAAGCGCTCGTGGTGGAGCTGTTCAGGTATGTCTTCGTCATCGTCGGAGCCGTCTAATAGACACGTTGCCCATCTGAAATTAAGCAAAATAATAAGCGGATAAGAGGTGAAATAGTATTGTATCGTAGAAGTTATTTTAAATTTTTCCTATGGGTCAATCCTATTTTTTGACAGAGATAAACTTGAATTAACTTGAGTACTAACTAATTTATTTTCTTCCGTGCTGGCATCAGACCTGTTCCACAACTTATCATGAAGTGACGAGTGAGTGAGTGAGTTTCTAAGACGTCGAATCATCCTTAAATCACTGTAGTTTCTTGTACAAAAGCTTAAAGTGGTGGTTGTGGGAGCAAAGTAACTTGTGTATCTTACTGAAGGTCTGCGGCAACCTTTGCGCTGCAGCGGGACCAGGAAGCCTCGCCGTGCGTGCCGCGTGAAGGCGACATTATGTAGCCATCTCGCGCGCACGCATTGCCCGTGCCGTCGTGATGCATACCCAGACTGCAACATAACAATACCAATAAATAGTATACGAAATAGACCGACATTTGTGCATGCGGCTTGATTTTTATAGTCAATAACCTAAACTGCAAATTTGCTATGGAAAAATTGTCAGGAAAAAAATATAAAATAAACCGACTTGTGTCCTATCTCATGCGCGAGTATGTAAACAGAGGTGAACCCAGCTGAGGGGTAGGGGCGGCCCAGCAGGTCGCTGGCACCGAACTCGGAGACAACGCAGGCGTGCGCCGGCAGACACACGCCGCCCACCGGCGCCAGGCCCATCGTCACTCCGTTACGGCGACCGCCTTCCTCCGAGTAAAAGTCCAACCTGCAAATCATAACATTTTTCATGTTCATTTCCTGAAGACAATTTTGCCACTAGTAAGTGCTTACTTTAGCTGACTACATTTCGAGATATATTCAAATATTGTTTTCGAAGGCCTAGCAGAATGATTGTGGATGAGTTTTTAGAAATCAGCGAGGGTGTGGAAGATGGAATGATAAAAAGGAACCTTATATATTAAAATAAACATATATTAACCCGGATAGTAAAAGTGCCATATCCCAATGCTGAGGATCATCATCGTCGTCGACATTCAATGACTTTTGGTACGCGCAGAATGAATCGAGCAGACGCCCTCTCTCGGCGTACGGCGGCAACTCGCTGGGTTGTGAGCGCAGCAGTGTCAGCCGCACCAACGACAGCTGGATCCTGGTTCCCAATGAAGCATGGTGGTATAAAGCTTGGACCTGAAGTGATTGCATGATTTTATTAATCCCAATGATACGTTGAGATTCTCTTTCCAATTATTTAATATGTGTGACCGTTATTGTTATTCCATTTATCAGAACTTACTCCATTGATGTATGCGAGTAGCATATCACGAAGATCACCTTCATTATGGTTAAGGAAGGGATGGAAGAGTTTGTAGCCGGCTTCGTCAAGAAACAGGGCTATTTCTATAGTGTACTTGGAGGGCAAGTTGGCGTGCAACCGAGGCTGACGCGGCCGCCGCACTCGCGGGCGAATGTACTGCGCGTCCCCGGCTGAGACGGGGGGCGGGGGCGCGCGCCGAATCACGTGGGCTCGGCGCCCGCCGCCATCTTGTGCACGACCCGCGCCGTGAGGCAAAGGACGCACTTCGTATGTCGAATTATCAGTCACTATTAATCCATGCTGAAATTAAACAACATTATTTATTAAAGGAATGAAGAATATTTATTTGTACTTGTACTTTTTCTTAATTATCTAGTATGGTATTCGTTACCACAAACTTGGGTGAGACCGAGAATTTGAGATAGAAAACTGATTACCCTTAGAATAACTTTAATTGTGCAATTGTAAATCTTCTTATTCTTCTATTTGCATTAAATATACATGTATAAAATTATACTAACAAGCGCATGATCTCTACAAGCAGAAAACGCGGCAACAGTGTTGGGTCCGGCATGCAGGTAATGGCAAGAAGTGTCGATGGACGACAGAGGCGCCTCTTCCCCGTTTTCTGACCACACAGCAAACTGCGGTGACACCAGCCCGCGGTTGGGTAGCAATCGTAAGTCAAAGCTCCTGTAATGTATACACATCTATATTGAAAAAGTAATCACATGTTTGTTAAATTCGTTTAGACGCTATTTCAGAAACTTGGAAAGAAACCGTTTACTTTAATGATAATTTTATTACACGAGTATTACATAACTTTCAAATATACAACAAAGTTTTATTTAGTTTCGTGTGCTTTACATACTAATGTGAGTATTCGAACTAAGATGACAAGGCCTTTTGTTAGTTTAAGCTTCATAGACCAATTTATATCAATAAGCTAACCCAAACGTAGACATTAAATTGAAACAGGACAATTAACCGCTCAACGCTTTATTCAACTGTTCTATTAATAGCATTGTATTGTATTAATTTTATTTGCATAGGAAACATAATTTAAAAACATTGATGTCTTTTTGTTTTGCTGGAGTTTAATCAGGTCAGTTGGTAAAGGATAAAGGGACGATTAAACATGAATATGTGTCAACGGAAACTGTTATTTGATTTGAACACTGTCTTCATACAATACTGCAAGCTGATGACGTTATTTTTTTGTCGCAATCTTGTACTGTCCTGTTATAGTTCTACCATTGGAAAACTATTCATCTTCTTCGAGATTAAATATTACCTGATCAATTGCATTCGTAACTTAAATAAAAACATGTCATGCCGGTTGATACGTATATACGTAAAATCTTTCCATATTTTGACTAAGAGTATTCAAAATGCAATTAAAATATATTTGCTTAACTTATACATTTGTAGGGTAATTAAATTAAAGCACAAAAATCAATGGAAGATAATTTAATAAGTAGACTTTTAACCTCAAATGTTAATCTACGTAATTTTTCGTAGATATGTGCTAATTGTAACCACTTTTTGACATTTTAAACGTTGAAAATTTCTACAGATGTGCCGTGCAAATATTATACGATAGTAAAAATGGCTTACTCTCGCTTAAAAACTTAACACATCGCTTTGGACTTAATGTTACTAATTGAAGTACTAAAAACTTTACATTAAGAGTTGACAATTTATTGACAAAGTTAGTTTTAACTTAAATATTCGAGCTCTTCGTTCTAAAGTTTTAATAAAGTCTAATGTTTCTAAGCAGTTCTTATGCAATGACTCGATAATGTTTTCCCGCAATATCTTAATCAGAGCTAGTCCCTAACTATAAATATTTTTATTCGACCACTGTATGACTGATCTTTGTCTATATGTAAAGTTCATATTGCAATCTAGGTATAATTACTGTGCATTTCCACTGCACCTTTATAAAAACATTTTGCTCTATATGTGTTTTTTCAAAGATAACAAGGTGAATGATAATATGATATTGTATGATTGTATGGGCAGTGGAAACATAGGCTTACGAGATTAACACCAACTACTCTTACTAATATTATAACTGCGAAAGTTTAGATGGATGGATGGATATTTGTTAGACGGTATCTCCAAAACGGCTCAACGAATCTTGAAGAAATTTAGCATAGATGTAAAACATAGTCTGGCTACTATTAAGGTTCTTTTTATTAGGGACAGAGTCGCGGGCGATAGCTAATGTTTCATATTTATCAATGTCACGTATGTATTAGTTTTCTTAAGCCCTCCCCTTGCTACCAAACAAATAAAGTCAACGAACAGGATCCTACTTATCAATAAATAAATAAAGATAAATTTTGTCACATCCGGGGATTTAGAAATGGCTGTTTTTATACCAAATACAAATTAAAAAAAAAAAAAAAAACAAATCATTTCCGGTGTAAGAAAAAAGATTGAAATCAAAATATAAATTTTAGATTTCAACGTTTTAAAATTATGTGCACTATTTAAAATTAATCTTTCGTCTATTAAAACGTGGTAACTAACTGATGCTTACTGTTAAAATAAAACCATCTTAAATTGGAAACAAACTTACAAAAAGAAATACTAAACTTTTTCTTTACAAAAAACTTATAAACACTTTCTTTCGGCAGAATATTGAAACGAAAATTTTGCGTAATCAAACTGAACGGGCAAAAACGCTATTCTACGTTATTCATCAGTAAAATGAAGAATCACTTATAAAAGAATAGAAAGTGCACAAAAGTAATTTACAAAGAGTACCTACAAATATCACGAACACTCTTAATTTTTATAAAACGGAAAAGTTTAAAATCAATTGCTTTAAAACATAGAAAATTTGACTAAAGGAGATAAGTATAATATCGATAAAAATGATAAATAAAAACGCCCTACACTATACGCAAGTAAGCAAGTACTTAATTAAGCAAACTTTAACTTAAATTAAAACTTGATTGCCTCTACTAGCTTTAAAATAATAAAAACGTTTTTTTTAAATATTTGAAAGTATACTTTATAACGTATATTTGGTAGTATTAATAAAATAATAATAAATAAATAATGAAAATATAGAGCTGGTATGTGCCTATCATTCGCTTATTGTTTTGAAACTTGTGTAATATGAATAATAGAGGCTAGTTATATAACAAACATAACAGCGCACGGAACTGGGAATTGGAACGTGCCACGAACTGAATTGTAGTCATCTTGTGCGGTTTCAATCAAGTTTAATGTTAGTGCAGCTTAATCGCAATTTACGATATAAGTGGTCAAACAAAAACTCGTGACGTTTGTGGTCGAAATAAGGTTATGTAATTTTTGCAATCCGGTCTATGGAATGCTAGTACCTGCTAGAGTAGGTTGGTAGTCTTCTCCGTCTTAATTAATTTCGAAACTTGAAAGGAATCTGAGTCTTTCTTAGTTTTTCGAAAACCTTTTAAGATCTTTTTAAGGATTAAGAACATATTGACGTCTAATATTTTAATAATTATCCATACCCTTACAGTTGTCCAAGTTTATTCACCGCATCACAAACAATTTATTTTATTGCAGATCCATTCGCCACGAACGACTAGTCATCGACGAGATATGTTTTAGTTAAACAACTCACCGTCCGAAAGCGTCGAACTTGTAGGGCAGCGGCACATCGCGGTCGTCGGCGTCGCCTGCGGACTGTGCCTCGCGCGGCAGCAGTGCTGGCAGGTACACCAATTGCATCTCCGCCTCCCCCGCATCCTGCCCCTCAAACCAGCCTTGTAGCGGTAGGACCTCCTGACGACATGAGGCGATCAGTATTATTTGCTTGATGTTCGCACACGTATTCTTTCACGTCAGTGTGTGTGTGTGTGTTTAGCTAAAGTCACTCAGTCATGAAATCTAGTACGAGCAAATAAATGTAAATATCAAACCAAAACAACAAATACAACACGCGGACTCACACTGCGAGCCGTATGCTAATAACAAAATAAACGATCAGAGTAAAATCCTTGCGGAATAGAAAATATTTTATTGCTGTGTAAATTCCGTATAGCTCGTACTTAACATTATAAAAACAATCAAAGTATGTTAAGTGGTAAGTAATGACCGCGCTAAAGCAAACGGTGTATCTGGCTCAGACGAAAAGTGAGTTTATGATGAAGCAGAGTGTACGACGCGACGGCGGGGCTTGTGACAATACAATCGATGTAGGTATCAGGAACACTTCGGTAGTCGGTTAGATGATGAATGCTTTGTCGATCGAGGTCGCTGCCGGTGACATGACACGGGCGCCCGCGCAGCGTGGGCTGCAAATACATTGTCGAGACCTTCGTCGCATTCCCACGCTGCTTTATTGCTTCAATTAATGAGTACACTTTCGTTAATAGGTTCATTCTCAAATATTATCAAACAAGTGCTGTATGGAAATATTTTGTTCCATCTCATGCTTGAAAAAAACTGATCAGAAAAAGAAGACAATTTTGTGCTTATCACATTTAAAAAGAAAGAAAAAGTTTTATTTATCTTCTGTTAATTATACCGAACTGGGAAACTGATACGTTGCTCTTAAAACTGTACATCGAACAGGTTCACGATTTGTTAAACGTTTATCTAGGAAAATACAAATTACGGATATGAATTAAAACCTGGAAAGTCCACAATGTTTCGCGGAAATAAGTTTAGAAACTACGATATAATTATTTATTGATAGAGTGAAATTTCGTGGAACTAATTTGCTTTTATTCTCCGTTGTAAATAGAGAAAAAAAAGGTTGATTGATGAATCACTCGCCACCGTGAATACCTGACGGGTAATTGTAACAAGGCTTATCGCAGTGGACGTTGATGGGTTTGGAGTGGAAGATCGCCGACCTTGTTAGATAGCGCAAGAGAAACCCAAAACAGGTGACTCAGTCCAGTATAGTCTCCACATTAGCGGACGCTAGTGAAGTAAAGGGGAAAGTAAAACGTAGAACAACTATTTGTTTTACCATTACGGATGTAACAATAGCTTCCTAACATTACTCGAATGACAAAATACGTTAAGTTACGCCAGTGTCCAGTTAAGTCATTAAGTTTGGAATTCAAGTGTCCGTGTTAGACGGTCCCGGAGAATGAAAGTTAACCATCATCTCAGTTGCAACCGAGCCTCACGTCCCGACGACACGGCTACAATAAAGAACGTATTGTGAATCATCGAGAGCCGATTGAAAAACCATAAGTACGTGACATTTACGCTTGTGTAACTCGCTACGTGATCGAGTGCGGTAAAGACAAAGCACCATTGTATTACGTAATATAATTGCCAAAATAAAATTATACTCGACCACATGAAAAATCAAAAATAAGTGAAAGTAATTTTGACAATATTTATACATTTAGAAGTACCGTTTAGATCTACATTATCCGCAATGGTTAACCAACAAAAGGAGATATAATTGTTATTGTCCTTTTACAATACAACAAATTAATCCGACCAAATAAAAATGTCGCTTATGAGTATAACAAAACAGTTAACCTAAATATGTTAATAATTTATAGCCACGTTAATTTTACTTTAATTAAAATGATTGTGTTTACGATCTACTCATTTCTCTCTCTAATAAAAAAAACAATTTTGTTAAACATTATTTTAAAACAAAAAGACAAATATCACTGACTACCTAGTACAACTCGTTTTTAACACAAACAGGGGTTTTGTAAAGCCCAATTTTTAATATGCCTTTTAATATTAATAAGATTAAAAAAATAATTTAATTATTAAACTGATACAAAATCTATAGACATAGTAGATCCGGAGTACCTATGTACTTACTACTTACATTTATACAATGCCACATTATGCAGAAAATTTTCCTTCTTTTAAATATATATAAATAATTTTTATAACGTTAATACATTATTTATCATGTTTTTGTTTTATTTTCAATTTTAACATTATACAAATTCATTCATTTTGTTAAAATAAACAAAAAGATTGAGGATAAAGTTCATTGTTTTATGCAATATTACATATGCATTATAAGTTTACAAATGTGTTTTTGTCGAAGAAATATTTAAGACAACAGGAAATGTCTTTGTTTTCTTTGTGCCCGTTACAACACATAATGATTCATGTGTTCACTGAGAACTGGCTGTTTGTTTTTTTCTTTTTTTGAAGACTCATCAACGATCTTGAATCTTTTTAAAGTAGGTACAAAGTATTTGATATCTTTGATCTAAATTACAATTGTAAAACTATAAAAACATAACGGCACAAAATTAATGTAAGTAGACGCCATTTATATTCAGTTTAAATTATATGCATTAACACATACGTCTTATCACAATTGGAGTAGGCGGAGTTCTTTGCTATTCGTTAAGCAAAAACGTCCACTGATAATTGAAGTTACTTCACCTGACTTCACTTACAACGTAATAATTTTACTAGAAAATTTAAATTTGAACAAATTCATTATTTAATAGAATATTTAGAATTTTATTATCATTACAGTTTCCGTAAATATATCGCGAAATCTAAGTTACTAAGTAATTAACTCGACGGCAATGGATTCATTTTTATATATATATTTTATAACTTTATGATTAACACAAACACAAACCAAATTACACGTAAAAAATTAAATAATAATGGAAAACACAAGCATACAAAGACATGAAACATTAATGTAAAAGCTTATTTGCATATCCGCCCGCCCTAACGATTATATGTTTGCATACTCACAGGAAAACGCGCAGGCGTAGTAGCGCGTAGAGCGCACAGCAATACAACGAGCGCCGAGTGACCTCGAGCCATGGCCGCCCTGCCGCCCTCCGACATCACAGCGCACACGCCACCAGGCAAATCCGCTCACCTCACACGCCACAACGCTTATAAACACGGAAGTATGCAGGTGCTTTGAATATCGGATATGCAGTGATGCGACGCCGCGCCGGAGATTAGAACGCGTACGTATGCCTCGGCCGCTACTGAACAAGCATTGCGTGCCCCCGGTGAATACCTTTCGCACCTCCGAGAGAAAGTCGAAGGAAAGTGCAGATTTTGGCTGCCGAGTGGCAGCGCCCACGCGCCTCCCCCGACCACCATTGTCATTTGTCGCCTGCGGCCCATCCGTCACTCCAGCACCCGTCGATGATCGATCACTAATAAACATAATCAAATTATTTAACAAATTATCAATAAAAATATAGCCAGCACTAATGAGAAAATAAGATAAATCGTAAAAGCATAATACTTGAAACGTTTAATATATGAAATCTACACTAATCTCCTAGTAATCAATTAACGGCTATAGTTGCGGCAAATACCTAACCAACCTACAATCTACAATCATTATAATCTACACAACTAGACCTAAGCAAACATTTAAAAACAAATATCAAGACCCAAATTGATATAGAAATAGTGTTTACTTGAACAAAATATACATTTACGAAAATACGGAATCCTTAAAGAATAATAATTAAGCACAGTTTGCAAATTATTAGCATATTAAAGATGTTTCCCACATGCATGTTGCATAATTTCTTGGAAGAGTTATCGTTAGAAGATATAACAAGTGCAGTACGACCCGCATGCACTGCATTTAACATTATTTATATAATTAATTTATTAAGTACAGTCAATGCACCCATTTCATTTATTCAATGCCAAATATGCTAAATAATTTACATACAAAAGACTCTAACCTATACGAAAGAGAGACTATATGAAAAAAAATTCACCGAAAAAAAGGGAAGGAGAAGGTTTTTGAACGGCATCTTTACAAATACACGAAATTATGAACAAAGTATTTTGTACGATTTGCAAAACAAGGAAGATTAACTTCCGCACACATTTGGTATAATTTCCGCAAGTCTTCTTATTCAATTTTACTTGATTTTGATGTGGCACTTTTACAAATGTTGCCCATGGTAACATCGATCGATAAGAACGAGTACCTTCAAGTTATTATTAATACGCTACATTTTCCTCATCCGCTCTCTCTACATATATTGTTAAGCTCTCTTAGTTTACCATCGTCAATTTTGATTATGCAACTGATAAAAACACTACAAATATCGATGAATTTACGTTAATTCAAGCCAGGCAAGTGCTAATTACTAAGCTTAATTAAAATAATATATTATATAATAATTTTACGGATTCATAATAAACAAATATCAATTATTTACCTACCAATAGCTAATTTAAGAAGCACCCAATCATTTAACAAGCCTATTGTTGGCGTTGTATTATTAGTTTTGAGTCCTAGTATTTTTTTAAAACAAGTTTATAATATAATTTCTAGTAAAAATTGTAATTCTTCTAATAAGTTTATTCATATGAAACACAGTTAAAATTACACGACATTCGGACATTGTTTTAAAACGAGGTTAAAGACAACATTTCTAATGTTGTGATAGTAGGTTTCCGAAATTCGATCTATAAGCCCTAAGCTACCTTAGTTTCTGAAATGCAATTTTGACAAATAAATAACAAATTACTTATACCGAAAGTAGTTTAGGTGATGCATGTTTAAACGAAAGACATACTCTTTTATAATCACGTTAACGTTCACAATATCGAGCACCGGCGGCCAAAGGGTTAAGCACGTGGTAATCTAAACAGTGCCTTACTGTATTTTTGGAGTAATACAGTTGGTTTCCAATGGTCTCGTACTTTGACAATCTAAATAAAAGGATTCTAATTAACTTTATAACGTTAGTTTGAAAAAAAATGCCTTATTGTACATCTATACAGAATAATAATATTTTCTTATCTTAGTAAAGACCGATGCAGTTCCTTTTCTGGTAGCAAAACAACTGAAAGGATATTTACCGTCGGAAGAAATATGCAGACGCTTGTGTATACAGAAGACAATAGTCAATCACACTCATGTAAGTTCAGAGGAACATTCTTTGCCTTTATTTACCTTAAAATAATAATAGCAACAACTCATGAATAGTGAAAGAAAACTATTTGTAAAAACAATTACGCAACGATTAATAGAAGCAATTTATGTCTTAAAACCTAAACTCTCAAGACACGTTAGTTTTGATAAGTTTATAGAATATTAAAATCAAGATGTGCGAGTGGGAATTTTTTCAATGGTTCAAAAGATATAAAAATTAGTGATATGAATATTTTTAATGTCTCCTGTTGAACAATTTCAGACATATTTATACTGACAATAAATAATTATAACCGAATACATGCGATTTGAATGTCAAATCATGCGACTGGTAAGCCATCATAACGGTCACCGGTCGTTCGGCGACATCCGCAGGTAGCGTGCTGCGCTGCGGGTGTTGAATGATAATGAAGAGAACTGCAGCCCTTATTATTAATATTCGCACACATTCACATGCAAACTTAGCGCAGTTCCTCTCTAGTAATGAAACGTTCAGTGTCGCCGAGGCGCGCGTCGCACGACGGCTACGGCCTAAATTAAGCTTCATCCTTTTACAGTAACACGACCAGTAAGAGGAGTAGTGTATGATACGCACAGTTTAGTTGTGGACACTGGCTAGGGTGTGCGTACTGTGTGGCACATGTTCCCGATGTGGTGATTCACTAGCGACGTCGAAAAAAAAAACAGGACGGCGGGAAGGCAAGCGAGGAGCGAGGCAGCGAAAGTCATTGATCCCGCCACGCTCCCCGAGGGCCGACGCCATGGCTGAGCTCGCGGAGGCAGAGGCAGAGTGGGGCGCATCGCCGGAGCAACTGGTGCGGCCGCTCGCGCTCGCAGTGTGCGCCGCGCCCGTCGCCGGCGCCGCCGCTCTAACACATTGCGCGCTCCTCGCCTCCCTGCTCAAGCGATCAACCAATGGTACATTTTTAAATTACGATCCTATATTAAGTAATAATCTTATAATTTTGATATTTGTACCTAAAATAAAATAATAAATTTTTATACAATACAACTATGTTTTGTTAAAACTTATCGGTTATTATTAAAAAAAAAACAAATTAAATTCTCCGTATTTAAACTTAATGTTTTTTTATCGATACAAGAGTTTGCTTCATAGTAGACATGAATGTCACTGAATTAATTTTAACCATAATTGAAAAATAACCTGAAACAGATCAATAACAAGTACAGGCCTGTTTTTGATCAGGATGTCGCTGTAATATTGAAGGGAACGCAATCGTAAAACCAGGCAATTAAAGATCAACAAACGATTAATATTGTTTTTCTTTTTTTCAGGTCTATTTTACATACTTATACAATTAGCCATTGCCGATTTATTACTGCTGGGAACAACCATTGCACCAGAGCTATGGTCTTACAACGCAAGAACGTGGCAATTTGGAAGAAGTGCGTGCATTGCCTACCGCGGCCTTAATGTATTTGCAACAACGGCATCTTTATATTTAATAACTACAATAGCACTTCATTCTTTGGCAACAGCAAGTTTGGAAGAAAAACAAGCACGTCAAAGCTCCAGCAAGAGAGATGATCTTGATGACGACGATGAAATTAGATCTTCGCGACACAGTCTGGTGACCAGCGATACGTCAACACCACCTCGTACGATGAACGTTGATTATCGTTTAACTAATAGCAAAATACGGATTGCTCCTCCTGTAGTTTTCGTGTGGGTTTTATCTGCATCGCTAAGCGTGCCGGATTTTGTTTTAGCGACTACTGTCCATTTAGATCATAATGTAGTGTTATGCACGCTTGTGGACACGAGTCATAGGATAAATATGCACTCATTATTAGCCATTTTCAACTTGTTCCTACCCATTGTTATTATGAGCACTGCCGCAATTTTAATTATGATAAAACTGAAAACCAAGAAAGGTCATTCACAGTTCGATGAAACCTTTCCAGCATTAAAGTTATCATTGTGTTTAATTTGTACTTATGTTGTGCTTTGTGCACCACGTTCCATCGTTGCGGTCTACAGTATGTACTCGACATCGACAGTTGAGAACGAATACGCAGTGGAACAACCCGGTTACGTTGTAGCGTTGGTGAACTTAGTATGTGTTTGCTTATATCTGGTGGCTAACGTAGTACGACCTCTTCTTTGTATAATTCTTCTACCGATATTAAGAAAAGTGTTCTTTTTCGGTTTGAAAAACTCCAATGTTGATGTTTGAAAAGGTTAATAGAATAAGACTGTGATACCATAATAGTATTTCTAATGCATTTGTCAATTTTACGTGTAAGAATAAAGTTTTATTTTTCTAAGACTGATAATAATTATTTTTATTTGAAAGCATAAGCTGAACCGCACTTGCGTCGCAATTTTCATTACACTGACATAGAGTAGCATCACGCACACCAAATGGCTTTTCAAAAATCGTCTTACGATGATGGATGATGCAAAATCCTGGTTTGACCCTCCAAATAGCTACGTATGATAGATACATCATTGATTCAATGGATAAGTATTTTTTAAGCTAAAAAAAAGGTACGATGAGATTTTTTGGGCTTAGCCTTATTTAAAATAAGGTCATTGTAGTCACAGATCTATGAATAAAATGTTTGCTTTTAAAATACGTCATCACTGTTATATCTACAAAAGAATCTTTACGACTTTGATGATATGGGTAAACAAGTAGTAACTATGGTATTCATTCTTATAGTGAACTATATTTGAAAAAATGTTGTTTATGGTTACTGTTAACTGACACGTTGAAGAAAAATTATCTCGGAATGAGCCATAGAAATGAGCTGAAAGTAAAAAAAAAACTAAAATACCAATCCAATGATGTAACACACGTAACTATTTGGGATAAGACCAGACTTTCGCATCGTCCTTTATATTAAACTACGAAACACTTCGGATTAGTCCAGTTTTCCCCCTGAAATGTAGCCCGTAGGGGTTAAGATGTCCAAGTATTCCCCCTGCGAAAATTCTGACATCATTTATAGTTTTGTACAATCGTACCAACAAATGATATTAAGAAGAATAATTCTCTATGCAAACAGAGCCGTGATTTATCGTTCTCGAGTTAGTATAAAGATTTAATTTTTATTTTATTGTTTGTATATGTTTATAACGATTTAATTAAGGAAAATATCCCAACACCTCGAGTCTTCAAGTAAAACCTAGTAAGTTTTGAATACTTGATTTTATTTCCAGGAAGAAGCCATAGATTTTATCTTGTTTATTGGAGTTATAATTTATATAAAAGTTGCTTCTTAAAAGTATATGAAATTTTATTTGTGAATAAATCACTTTTTGGTATTATTTATTGCATGTTCATGTAATTGTAATGTATACTGAACAATTTTAACAGCCCGACAATTTCCCAAATATTTTATGGTGGTCAAATACTGGTGTTGCCACAGTATACGTATTAGTGATGTGCCAATTCGATTTAACTCACCACAGACAATCCTGTTTTCTCCGAATATTTTCACTGGACTAGTGTAGTATAATTGCTACATAAATTACTATTCGTCTCATCAATATTATACACCATTGCAGAATTTCTTTTTATTTTCTGGTTTTCTAGCTAGTAGCTAACATTTTGAATATTGTTGGCGATTGAGTTTCCGTCTAAAATAACTGCCTAATAACTTCGTAGATTACTTATTTTAGAGATATCCGCGGAGACTTCTGGCTATGGCAATCAGTTTAACGTAGTATTCTAGATTTCCCACCCTTAAGATTTTGGTACTGTTTTTTTTTCTAATTAAATCGTGTTACTTATGACTGCGGCTTGATTTATTCATGTGATATTTACAATGGGGTATGATTTGAAAAGGTCTAAAACTTTGCCAATTGTCATCATGTTATAAAGGTTGCTTAGACGGTATATCGGTGATAATGGCGAAATGCGTTGCGTAGACAAACATCTTTTTGGGGTTAATAGGTGATGGTTTATTTAAATATTGGTTCTAAAACTAAAAAGTGTATTTAATACAAAAGTTTATTGGTGAAAACATGAAAAATATAATAGATTAATGGCTGATAAAATGCAGCAGAAATGTTACAATATTTGTCCATCACAAAAACTATTTTGCTAATAAATGCCTGAAAGTTCAGAATGCTAGTAATTAATCAGTGATGGGCACAACAAAATGGTTAATGTCAACATTTAGTTTCGCTTTGGTAATATTTAATATATATTTATATATAAAGGACATCACAAAAAACCACATAAAAGACACTAACAAGTTTTTTGTGCCCTAATTTCATACAGCCATTACAGATCGTGGATTTATAATGAAAATCTAAATTTTATTGGGTTACTGGGCGTAGGTTAACAATTTTATTATCTAATTGCATAATTTTAAAACATTCACCATCATGATCTCCTTCACTGCTGACATGCGGCGAGAGGAATGTTGCTTTGGGGCCGACCGGGCTGTCGAGTTCGTTTTAAATAATAAAGGAAAACACTTTTAACTTAAGAAACCGTAATTTTAATAACTTAAGTTATAAATATTTATATTCATCAGGTCAGCTCGATATCTGTAATCCAGTGTAAATACAGAAATACAAAACCGTCAAAGATGACACATAACATTTAATTTTAGACGGAACGAGAAGGTCCGCTGCGAACGACATGTTTAACATTTTTACAAGCGACGGCTGGCGGCGGGTGCCGCGCGGCGTTCTCGAATGTTACTCGCGAGTGACGACACCGATGAGAGTGCGGCGAGCTGCGCGCTAGCGGCGCTCTAGTTGTCGCCGCCCTCGGCCGGCTCGTCCCCGTCGCCCTGCGTGTCCGACGTCCACAGCGTCAGGTTGTCCCGCAGCAGCTGCATGATCAGCGTCGAGTCCTTGTACGAGTCCTCGTTAAGTGTGTCCAGCTCGGCGATCGCGTCGTCGAAAGCCTGCAACACAAACCCGTCTCACTCCCGCTCTACCCACTCCTACCATCTCAACTCGACAACAAACACATTCAACTTATAGTATATGTACACAAGTTAAATAAATATACACTCTTGATGCTGGCTGGATCGAGTATTAACATGTTAATCGCTTTACATGGCCATGCCGAGGCAAAATTAGTGAGTTTATTTTTAAGAAACATCTAAATTAGGTTGTATAAGTTTGATGTTCATGCAATCTGTTGGAGGGTGACTAGACGTGTACTAGTTAGTAGGGGATGCACGATCGATAGGTACACTGCAGATTGTTGTGCAATGAATAAACCTGTTTAGCTAAGTGGCACGCCCGCGCAGGGGAGTTGATAATCTCGTAATAGAATACGGAAAAGTTGAGCGCGAGACCGAGCCGGATGGGATGAGTCGGTTGCATTTTGGTCTTGGCGATGTCGAACGCCTCCTGGTAGGCCTTCTGCGAGTCCTCCACGACGGCTGGGGACAAGCGAGCGATTAGCGGCGCGCGTGCCCATCCTCGTGCCAGCCAGCACAGAGCCTATGCAAACTGACACAAATAATGACCTGTTTGGCGAGCTGACACGCCTTGTCTGGTGAATTTAATATCTCATAATAGAACACGGAGAAATTTAACGCCAGCCCGAGCCTTATTGGGTGTGTGGGCTGCATTTTTGCCTTGCTGATTTCGAAAGCATCCTGGTATGCTTTCTGTGAATCGTCTACAACAGCTGTAATTGTAAAGGGTTGTTAGAACTGACTTATTGTTTTATTAAGGACTTAATATTCATTATATCATTTACAAAAAATTTAAAAAAAAATATGTACATTGAAAGAACAATAAAAAAATTACTTACAATTTCTGGTTTCTCCTGTGGCCACTTCCGCCAGGTACCTGTAGTAATCTCCTTTCATTTTAAGGTAAAATACTTTGCTTTCTGGATTACTAGCCTTAGGGATTAGGTGTTTATCAAGTAAGCCCTGTAACAATTTTTAATCGGTTTAAATATATTTAAATTCAAATTACTGAAATATTTTGATTGTTATAAATATTTTAATTTATTTCAGTATAACTTCTTATACTATACTAATTTTCTAATACAATTGTAACTTAGTATTGAGAGAACATTTTATGATGCTGCAGTTACTGTTACGTAATAATTTGCTTAATAAAATCTCCTAAGTTCGGATTTTTTTTTAATTCAGTTGCGACTAGATATTAATAGTCCAATCGATACCGATGCACTTTCTCCTCTGATTACGTAAAAGCGACGACTAAAAACTCTACTGTACTAAATGCCGTAACGGAAAATCGACAAAAAATGCATCGGATAATCGGATGCCTAGAGATAGGGCAACGAACGAAGATGGGATGGTTGCGCGCGCAGTAGTGACGCGGCGCAATACGTCACGCCCCCGCCCCCGCTGCGCGCGCACGCCGCACCGCGCCCCAGCACGGCCGCGGCCGCCATGCGAGCCCAGCTACCTACTACGCTATAACGCCCATCATTAACATCAATATATAATTTGCGCACAAAATGACCGCGACGTTTGCATCACCCCTTAAATTGGCACCGTGCAAATATGGTGACGTCATCGCCGTAAGAAGGCTATGACTGCCATCAATCTATTTAACGCGGAAGGAATTCCGTAATATCCGCAGCGTAAAACAAATGAGATGGTGCTGAAAATAGTAAAGTCATAAATAAAATAAAATTCTTACCAAAACGTCGTAGCAGATTTCTCTGAGCTCTTTTTCTACTTTAACCCTATATTCTTTTGCCATCTGTTGTTTTCTTTCCGAACCTTCGGTTTTCTGTTCGATTGAGGAGATTACTCGCCATGATGACCGCCTGGCGCCCACCACGTTCTTGTAGGCGACGGAGAGCAGGTTTCGCTCTTCGTTGCTTAGCTCGACGCCGGTTTCCGTGACTTCCTTCATCGCGGCCGCCATGTCGTCGTACCGCTCCGCCTGCTCCGCCAACTTGGCGCGTTGCACCAGCTCCTCCTTGTCGACCGACATGGTTGGTGATCTGTGACAATTATATTACTGATGCCCCTGCAACAATTTAAACAAAAAGAAAATCAACCAATTGAAAAAGTAATTAAATCCCGGAATAAAATTAAAATATTCTCAGAAAGACTAATCGTTTGGAAGTCACTTTCACCGCAGTGAATCCAAAATGGGTATATGAGTCATCATGAAATGCGGCGCACCTTGGATGGAGGCTGTCGGGCGCACTGGCGCAATGTAAAAATTCAACGTAGCTCTAAGAGCGACCCTCACACCAAACGCGACATCGACCCGGCGTCCGTTCGGTTCGACAGCATCTCACAGACTCGGGTCACTGGCGAATATAACAAGGCACGCGCCGTCGCTGCGCCGCCTAGGCCACCGCCACTGCGCCAACTGTATTGATCCGGCGACGCGGGATAAACACTCCAGACGAAATACGACTAGCGCGACGCTTGCACCCCCCGCACCCCCCCTACACCCGGGCACCCGCCCTCGTGCACCACACCCGTCAGCCCGGCGCCAGCCCCCTCCCCGCCCCCACCCTCCATTACGCCCCTTATATTTCTATCGATACTTCGCCATATAGTAAAAGCCCTGTTGCTAAGGACCACTTTGACCTAACATTTCCATAAAAGAGCAAATTATTTTAACCCATAGTTCAGTGCACAGCCCAATCCATCCCACACACATTTAAATAGACAAAAAATAGATAATCAATACAATGAGTAAGTACACATTCATTAAAAAGGACATAAAAATTTTGAAACATCTGCCATGACATAGGTTGAGTAAATTAAATGACATAACTGGTACTCCTCCCTAGAGGTATTCCAGTGTAAAATTAATTTAATCTGTAACTGACTAAAATGACTTTATTTCAAATTTTACAATTTTCTATCAAAATTAAGTTAAAATGTTCAAATTTCATTTAATTTCAAAATTTCAATTATCAGTTTCCACTGATGAAATACTATTATGATTATATACAAGGGATCACTCTTGTTCACTTTAAAAAAAATGAAAATTTTACATTAAATATTTTCTAATTTCCACATTTTTGTCATTACTTTTGACATTATTATGTAAACAAGTCTGTTTAACACATGTTCTGAATTGGTGACATATTAAATTTTGAAATACCAATTACTGGAACATTATATTTCTATAAATTTATGATACTTT